AAGGTAGCGTTCAATACAGACCGCACTCTGGAGTTGAACCCTAACTGTGAATATTAATTTGATGAGTACGAGCACTTTCTCTGCAACCATAGAGTAGGAGAAATGTCCTACAGTATGGCCATTAAAGGTGGCCCCGGGAATCCTAAAAGTAGCTCTGTAAAAACCAAGTGGAACTCAGACACTTCCACCCTGTCTGTCCAGAAGGCAGGAGATGATACCATCAGCCACAGAACCCGGCCATTAGCAGGCAGAGAGATTAGGATATAAGGCAGAATTGCAGTATTAATGACAGGTGACTTGACACAGAGACCGCAGAAAGCTGTTACGTTGTTTTCTTTTGCTGTGAAGTTTGACATCTTTCCTGGAAATATGTACTAGAAAAAAAATGTTTTTTATTTACTCTATTTAAATAAGTAGGATATGTCAGAAGAGTCCTTTAAATATAGTTATCAGGGTCAAAGTGTGAGATATGTCACCGACTTTTACATATCCTTCTTTGTATGAGAAGGAAATGTTGTCTTTATTTATCGGCAATACCAAAAATGTGTTGTTTACAATCATTCGCTAACCAGTAACCTCTCTTTGCCTGAGACACACAATTGTACTCACCAAATAAGTCTGCACTCAAGTTCTACATTTGTCAAGAATGGTCATTATTAAAATCAATTGTAACATTTTCTATGACGCTCATGTCTATAATGCATTAGAATCTGATAATATCGATGTGTCATTATAGTTATGCATCATATTTCACAAATATGTATTACTTTACTTTACCTGCTGACCATTAAAAGTAACTTACGATAGGATGTTGCTCCAACGAAGAAGTTGTGGCATAACCTTGTAATGGAGTGCATTCCTAACGAATACATCTCTTGTATGCTTCACTCTTCAGTGGATGCTTTCCAGAAAATTTGGCTCCCTTACTTGGACTATATTGGACCAACATTGTCATCTTCCATATTACGAGGGTTTCCTCCTTCAGCCTAGCGCTCCTATGTACTTTGGATTTGACTGTTTTTATGCTTTCCTGTAACCTTGTTACCCCTGTCATCTGTATTTGTCTATTTATTTTTGATAATTACTACTATCTAACTTAATTTTGTTATTGAGAATGGTAGAGGTTGGGGATCCCTACACTGTGCAGTGTATTTTATTTATTTTCTTATTCTTATCTACGTACCTTACTTGTCATGTCATGTCTGAGCTGTTTTGTTATGTGTTGTATTTGAAAAATGTAATAAAGATATTATATTAAAAAAAAAAAGTAACTTACGATCAGAGTGTAATGTAATTTCCTTAGAAATAGTAAAACATTAAATTGTACAATGTAATTTGAATATCAGTGTGATACCTGTTCTTACTCACATAGGAAGTGTTACAAAATGATCCACAAAATCAAGCCAGCAACTCCGGTAACCTATTTTAACCAATTAACAAAACATGTTAATTGAATTCATACATTGTTTTAGATATTAACTTGAAATGTGAAGTGGACACATTTGAAAGCACTAACCTTCTCGTGGTCTGAGTGTATTGCAGTTGATTCTGTACACTGGAGGAACTCCAGCTCACAAAACACCTGTATCACCTGAGGATCAGTAACCACATAATGTCCATGAGTATTTTGCTGGCAAATTCATATGTGTACATGATTTAATTAAAGAGGGTAAAGTGTTGATGAGCTGTTGTTGAGATTACAATTTACCAAGATAGAATAAGAAATCATGGAAATATGGAGTTGTATATGCAGGAAATGCGTACAATGCAATACAATTTATTTGAATATATAAACAAATGTTTTCAGATTGCTCTGCCAAAGCTACTGCAAGCACAATATACACTATAGATAACGTGTTATTTTTCAGTTTAATTGTTGGATCCCATGCTCATTAAGATTTTCTAACTGGCAATGACTTAAACATCTCTGTCTTTTTTAACAGACCCAGAAGGGCCATAATGGTTGTTGTGCAGGTTTTTACACTTGTATCGGAGATTAGACATTTTAATCCACCACAGTAAAGATTTTCTAAACAAGTATTAAAGGCAGTTGTTAACAGACAATTGTTGTTTCAGGGATTATCTGTTGGTGTGTTCATGGAAGCACACATTACAATTGATTTCAAGTGTAAAAATAAACAATATGGTGGCTGGTGATGACATTTGAGTGTGAGAATTGTGTAATTTCTCCAGCTGTCCAGTCCGCGTCATTTTTCCGTTAAAACAAAGCCTGCACTTACTGTTTCAGAAGCAACAAGATGTGCAGGCAGAAACATGAAAATGCACAAAAAACAAAAAACAGATAGATCTAGTGTTATAGTGTTTCACATTGTGAAATGAAAACAAAAAGAAACAGTTCTGCATCGAGCAGTTTATTGACTGGTAGTCATTTAGCATTCATAAGCCCACAATGACCAAACAAACCCTAAGCATGAAGTTTGTCGATCATGCAGTTAAGATCGCTCTTTGCTCCTAGACTCTCCAAGACAAAGACAACATAACAATCTTCCAGACCTTTCATTTTTACCTGTTACTCATTAATTATATTAGAAATTATGAACATCTCATATGGAGGGATGAGAACCTCGGCCTCGTGTTCATTAAAGATTTAATCATTTTTCAAAAAAGAGCAGGTTCAGTTCAGTAAGTCATTCTGCAGGATATATGAGGTGTTTTGCACTTTGTGGTTTTGTACATTTTGTCACGTGTTTTGAGAAAATTAGGCATGTTTTCAAAAAGACGTGTAAGCAATTGAAAAAAACTGTAATGTGTTATTTAGTCAGCAGCCAAACATATTACTAAAACATTACTTATTTTACTGAGCCCAGCTTTGTCAAAGCTGACATACCAACACATCACACCTTCTTTATTTAACATTTAGAAATATATATGTAACAGATGCCTTTTACCACCAGCTGATAGGGTAAGGGTGTGAGAAGATGACCTTTATTAATCCCCTCATTAATCCTCATTTTTTTGTAAATGTTAAAGTAAACATTTGAATTAAGCATGACACTGAAAAATAAGAACAGACAAGCCACATTATTGCATTTAGCAGTTTGTTTATATCAACAATGAACAGAAACGATTTGAGAGTTTCTTAGCATTTTTTATTTCAGTGACATAACATTTGTATTTCCTTATTACTTTCAAACATAAATTGTAAATTCTCTCAGTGACCAACAACACATGAAAAAGTACCCCAGATACACACCATCTACCGTCTTTTATCAAATAGCAACTCTCCATATCACCAGAATAACTATCATTACCAGAAGAGCCCCCAGCACTACAGCCACAAAACGCTTCTGCCTGCGTTGTACAAGGACTACAGAGATTATTATTAACAGCAATATGTATGCAAACATCATCCAAGCACTCCATGTATACAAGTATCTTAAATAAACTTCAACATATCTTTTTAATTGCTTTTGATTCAATTTACAATTCAAATCCCTTCTTGGCGCTTTGGTGCTCTGTAGCTTGTAGACCACACTGCACCATGGGTCGTTTGTCAGGACATCAGTGACTTTGAAGACCTCATAAGGAGGAATGAGCACCTGTCCCTTTTGTTTTGTAGCAGAGTAATGTGTTATATCAGCACCAAAGCATGAGTAGATCTCAAAACAAGAAACATTGCCATTAAAGTCAAAAGACTGCTTGCTTGAAGCTGCCCAGGTAAAAGCACCAAAACGCATGTTAGTGTTGATGACATTGTGGTCAAACAGTTCCCATGTCCTGTGATATGTGGTTCTGCACAATGTCTGGTTTTCACGCAGAACTTGAATTGCATCAGTGAGGAAGAAGTAGAAATAGTGGAACCTAAATGTATATGTGCTGTACTTGTGTTTCCCTGTTTTCACTGCTTGGTTGAAGACGTGTTGTATATATTTCAGCTTTGTGTACATGTAAAGTACTATAGCATGGTCTTCTTTCAGCTGTGTGTGGACAAGTTTCTTTGCACTGCTTTCAACTAAAGCCCAGGCAATGCTGAAGTTTCTGTTGTAGTGCCACTCAAACACGCCAAACAGGTCGATCACTGAGGCCGTTTGAGACCGGCAACCCTCATACATGTCATCAATGGAATCCGTAGCCATATCCAGAGGCAAAGCAACACTTTTCTGCAGGGACAGATAAGAAAAGCCACAGTGAGCAACACTTACAGAAGGCTTTAGAATATACAGTGTACATCTTCTGACACAAGAGACAGGTAAAATGTGAATGTATTGCTGCATGTAAAATAAAGAACTGTCCTCCCACCTCAGCAGGATTCTGAGGCCACCAGATGAGTCGAAATGGGTCATAGATTAATAGAAGTGCCACCGCCAAAAACAAACAAAGGGTTGCCAACTGTTTCTGTGACCTCAGCTTGCACACTGGTCCACAGCTGCCACACGTCATATCTAAATGAAAAACACAACCTCTTACTTCCTGAAAAATTGCTCTTAATACCAAAGAAAAAAAGTGTTTTCTAATTCTTCAACATTGTTTGCATTCACATTGATTCAGTTTGTTTGCTTAAATCTGCAAGTTAAAGTTCAAACTTAGCTGACATGAAAGAGATAAACAATAAACCATAACCAGGACCAATATGATAAGTCCTAGACCATCATAATACCATTATATTCTCCACCAACAATATAACACCTGATTGTTTTTGACTTACTTTTCTCCTGCCGAGGGCTTTCCACAGCAGCATGATATTCTTTAGAAAAAGGGTGGAGCCATTGCTGTTTGTCGGCAATCACTGTGTCACTGTGTCACTGTACAGCGAAATTTAGTTTTACACTTTTGATGCTATTTTAAAAAGCATTTAGTAGAAAGAAACTGATTTAACCCTTTGCTAGTTTGCATTATATTCTTAAGTTATGTGTAAATGTGTATTTGTCAAATGAAAAAATAAAACCCTTGCCCCACCCTGGCTCCGTCAGTTCACTGCTATTATTGCAAGAGGGAGGTTCCATATGTGCCAACACTCGTAAAACTTGTTCCGTAGCTTGTTCAAACAAACAAAGGTCTTGTATGTCGTCGACAAAAATAAAGTACACTTTTTATTCTGAAAAAGACTGATGACAGCCCCATTTTTAATAAAAGACTAAACTGCACAGTAGTGTTGCTCAGGATGTGGTGAGTTATTTCAAAACATCTCACATTATTAAAACTTGGATTACAAAGAGAATGCAGTGAAAAGTAAATTGCAAATAACTTTAATATGCAGTCACACATATCAATTACTATGTAGATGTAATATTTTTACAGCAGAGATGTATATAATTTGATGAATTAAATGGGAGTAGATTGACCCTTTATTATAACACAGTATGATACATCTGGATGAATGATATACGCTACAGTACAGTGCTCAGTTCCACTGTAGGACTTTGCTCAGTCACTCAGATCTGAGTTCTTCTGGTTTACATGAGATGTTCCCTCTGTTTCAGATGCACTATGCCTTCCTCGGATAACCAAGAATGTCAGAGACGAACTGTATCTGCTTCTGCCATTTGTTCCCTTGTTCTTTTGGTGGGACTGCTCATGTTTGTCACCATATATCTGACTCTCAGCTGGCAGGATATTGTTAAGGAGGTATTTAAAATGTATTATTTACACAACTACATATTTGACAGGACTTGAATAATAAATACAAATTGTGATACTCTGATAACAAATAGTGTTGTGACAAATACACATGTTTTAAATGTTTGTAATGTTGCACTAGTACAGGTATCCAACCTACATGGTCTGTCATTGTTTTGTTAAGGATTGGCAAAAGAGGTTCAAGGTTCCATTTAGTGTATATCTCCATCTACTGGATGACTATTGAACAACATGTTTTTCCTCATTTTAGCATATCATGCAGGATGTGACCTATGATCTGAATGAAGACATGTATGACGACTGCCAGACCAAAGCTACGGTTGTGACGGATAAAGCTATTATGCAGAAATGGAACACCAGCAGAAACGTCATTACAACCTGGAGCAACGCAGAGCACAGAGCTAGAGAGCCAGCACACAAGTATATGGAGAAACACCTTTCAACAGCCATTTACATTTACACAAAAGTGATGATGCAACCTTTCAAGTCAAACCTTGATACTAAAGTAATTACTGGAAAACTAAACAAGACATTTGAGCCACACTCCCTTTATTCTTCCTTAAGCAAAGCCATTCAGATTCTGAAGCACAGCCAGGTGACATGTCTCTGGACGAATTACCGAACTGAGACGCTTTTGAATCTGAACATCTCTGACAAACTGATTCGGTTCAGCACCTTCATATTAGGCACTGACGGATGGAATTTTACCAGGAACGCTTCATGTTTTGAAGTATACACGTGTTTCGGTGCTGACATAACACATTACTCTGCATTACAGCTAAACAGCCAGGTGCTGATTCCTCCCTATGAGGTTTTCAGAGTCACAGACACAGACACGGACACACAGAGGTATACAGTCTTATACAGACTGAAGAGCAACCTAAACTGTGTTTATGATATAGAGAGCAATACGTTGCAACCTATATCTGCGTTACCTGCAGATGGGTTTTGGCTAATTGTTGTCATTGCCTGTGTAATTATTGTATCTCTTTTGCTACCCTTTGTCATTGTGAAGGTGTTAGAAAATCATAATAAAAAAGCAGTATACAGTGCCCCATATCTACATAACAACTCTTACTACACGGCTGGAGTTGTCATCTGAAAGGCAAGGTTTCATTTCAACTGATTCTAATTCATTCATACACCAAAAATTCCGTGTTTAAAACTTCATGTATAAGTAAATATTGTTAGCGTATTCTTGGAATGCATACATTTTTTTAACTTTTCTTTTCATGACATAATATTCAAAAATTTGACTTGCCAAATTGTAATAAAGTGTTCTGTTACTCAATCAATGACTTCCAAGTTTCAAGCCTTTGCAACTCACTAGGAAATGTTGTGAGTAAGCCTGGGAAATACAATCAGGTCATAAGGGTCATTACAAATAATTGGACAAATCAAAACATATAAATAATGCCGTTTCATTTGTAGCAAAATAGTCAACAGAGCAGTGTAAGTTGAATTGTTTTATTTTTGAGTATATCTTATTGTCTTTAGTTTAGGATTTGTGTGCTAAGAAATAAGAAATCACTTGGACTGCCAACCTTTTGTCAATATTGTCTATCCATAAATCTTATTTTATCAATCTTTTGACATAAGAATCAGAACATAAATCCCCATATGAATATATATTATTTGACGGAGCATCTAAGCCAGGGATGGGCAAACGGCGGCCCGGGGGCCGCATGCGGCCCCCACCTCCTCTTATTCCGGCCCTCAGATACATTTATAAACAACGTAATTAATTTTAAAAAATAAGAAAAACTCACAAGAAACACCGGCTGTTGTTATGCCTGCTGTGACGTTAAGCTACTGCTTGTAATTATGCCTTTACAAGCTTCAATGTTGTATTTATCATCTGAATTTGGCGAAACAAGTTTAGTATTCTAAAAACCAAGCCTTTGTTTATTTAAAATCAGATGAAAACAAACTGTCACGAACCCTGCCGTGTTATCTATGATTACTATACGCTTTTCATTCATAATTTCAGCGGGAGGGAAGGGGAGCGGCGCTGAGGAACAGCAGAGTGCGGGTTGACAGGTGTCTGTGTTGACATTCCCCTTATTGTGGAATAAGGGGAATGCAGAGACAGGCTACAAGTGTCTTAGGTTCAAGTTAGACAACTAATGTCTGGGGTAGTGTTCATGACAAGCACATTTTCCGTGCTTTCCAATAGTTTAAAATAGTTTTATTCCACTGTTAAATAACCTGTTCAATACAAACATGCAACTTGTAAAAATAAAATAAAATGTCTGTGAACTGATATTTGTTTAGTGAGCTTATTAGGGGATGTTCCCTGAAAGATTGTAAAATGTCAATGAAGATGTCAGACTTAGTATATTTGTTAATAATTACATACAATACATGGAATTTGTGTGTGTGTGTTCCAAGTTAATCTGCGGCCCCCTGGTGGCCAGTACATCAATTATGTGGCCCCCACCACCATCAAAGTTGCCCATCCCTGATCTAAGGCAATGAACAATAATATCAGGACCCTGAAACTAAAAGCAGGAATGATACATTTTATTAAACCTGCGCTTTTTTGCTAAAAAACACACACTTAATATGTTCTGTGTAGGCACATTATACAGAGGGTCATCACAATTTGAATTCTACCATACAATAATGCCCTGTGTAGCTCACATAGTACAGAGGGAATCACAGCGTCTCTGTGACAGCGGATTTGTCCATGCTTTAGATAAGTGTGTACAAATTGTCGGACTTGACAGAAAACATGTTCAAATTAAGTAAAAAATCCTCCTATTTCTAATACTGGGTTTTCATTCATTTCTTTATTACAATACCATGTGTATTTGTTCATTTGTTCCTCAGTTCACAGTTGAAATAGATGAAGAGCATATTACACAACCCGATTCCCGTAAAACACCATGAGTATTGTTTTTTCAGAAAGATTACCCAACGTTGGTCACCTTTACTTTGTATTCATAATTGAGGAATGTTTTATGACAACCGATCTTTGTTACACTCATGAATAAACACATTTTCTCTGATATTTCACAATCTCTTGTTGTTATAGTAGGACAAAGCTCCTTTAACATTTCAACAACCCTATTGAGAAGAGGTCAAAGAGGTATGTCAGCTGCATCCGAGCCCTGCCCATGATGAGAAATAGGGTTTTGACTTGTTGTTTTAGTTTCTGTACAGTGAGATAAATGAATGACAGGCAACATCTTGTTAAGCAGGGTTACTGTATGTGTGACAGGATTCTTACCTGCAATCAACTCAATGGGCCATTGTGCATGTACATGTCTAAAATGTCTCTACTTTATTTGATTTGAAATAAATGCCATCCCAATCAGATACACCCAAAACTGAAGATAAAAACATTAGAAATTGGATGCATCATCAACAAAATATCACATCAATAAAATGATCATGCCTGTTGCAACGATCCACAATGCAACACAGACGTAGGTTTTGTAGGTGTGTGAGATTTTTCTTTTCATCAATGTTGATCAAGGTAGAGGCAACACAAGACAACGTTTTTGTCTTGACTTGCTCTAACTACACTTTCCATACTGGCCAACTTTGGGGTGATTAATCATTAAGGGGAGGGAATGAGGACACACACTTCTCATTCTCGCACGTCTCTCAGCACACACCCACACACACATCGACATACATACATTTTCAAGATAACATAGGAAACACATACATCTGCTCACAATATAATCTGTACAGTGTTCACATGAGATGCTGACATAGTGGGACTGAATACAACGAGTGCTAAAAAGCACACAGGTAAGACCTTAAATTGTATATGAATCTTTTGTATTATTTACACTGTGTTCATTAATATTGATCCATATTGAATTGTTTTCATTTTTTTAAATGTATAATTTCTGTTTTTGTTTTCTTATTAGATTTCTCTATTCAAACTAAGAGGTTACATATGTTCAGATTATGTGAATTATTGATTTCAAATGTAAAGGGAGGCATATGAGATTATGCTATCCTTTTATTGGTGAGGATTATTTTTGAAATGTAGGAAAAACAAGTTATCCTATTTACTAAATAGCATTCTCCATGCCACCCTAAAACTTAACAAGCATTGTACAACGATTTAGAAATCATAAAATTAAAATAAAAGTTTGCTTCAATAAAAGTAAACATGAATTATACAAAAAACACTGAAGATTGGTATATTCTTAACATTTTATCCTTTTCTTTTTGTACTGATTTCACTTCCTCTTTCTTCCTCCGGTGTTTTCACTTGTCACTTATTGCCGAGATACACCTGATTCACTGCCAGTCACCTCTCTGTGGTTGGCCACATTATTTTAATTGTTGTGGCAACCCATAGATCAAAAACTAAACACAGTGGGAGAGACATCACCTTATTGTGTTCAGTTGTGTTTTGGTGTGGGGAAAGAAGTGGAAAAAAAATAAAACAGGAAAATAGGAAAGTTTTGGAGAGGTGAAAAGGTGAAGAGGACGTAACCATCCAGATTTCTTCATTATCAGACTTCATCATCCTTGTCCTCCAACATGGCCAGCAGACAAACAGTCGTGTTCCTCGTGGCAGTGGTGATCTCCCTGTCAGACTTCATTCATAGCTTCCAACCCCTCTTCTCACCTGATGGTAATTCATCCACTCACCGTGACATCACACTGAGGGCGGTCCTCAGAAAGACAGCTGAGGTCTGCCGAGACATGGCTGCTTCGGAGGGACGGGACTTCCGCCTGACTGTGAGTTGAAAAGCTGCGCTAAAAGAGAAAATGTGACAACTATGGTTAAAAAATCAGTATGAATTATTATATGATTTTTTTTTTTTATTATTATTATAGTGTGACATTAAGACAATTTGTCCTCTTATACTTTTGTGGTTAGGGTCAGCCCTTTGGACATTACAATGGCAAATAAGTAGATTCATTCATAACTAAATGTGACATTGTATCAGTTTTAGCACTTGGAGAAACTGACAATAGTATGACAGACATTCCTGGAGGTATTTGGTATTCTAATTATTGTTTTAGGAATGCTTTTCAAATATGTACTGCTGCTAAAGGAAGATGAAGGTACACATTTCTACCACTGATGAACTTAAGAGTTATTCAGTGCAAAACTGCATGAGGAAGGCACGTATGAGTATTATTTTTAACCGTAGATTTTAAAACATGCAGTCAGTCTTTTGTTATGTCTTTGTCTCCAGATTGATGACAGCCTGTCAACTGATGAGGTGCAAAGGGCCTGTTCTACGACAGGTACCTCCACCTCTCTCCTCTCAACTGTCCTTTTCCAAACATCCATCGCCAATATGTACTTCAGCAACGCAAAAGTGGACAAGCTTTTTGCGCTGAGTGAGAAGCATCATTTTGATGATGAGACCTTTCAAGACGGACGGGATGTCATCACAGCAGGTACACATCAACAATGCTTTCCTACTCAGAACATTCATGAAACAAAAAAACATTCAATATTATTTGTTAGCAACATTGTTTTCCAAAGATTCTATACTGTATTTATGGAGCTTTAAATGCAGTGGTCTCATTGCTGTAGATATGGTACCAGCTTGTTAGTTAAAGAAATTATTTTGGAAAGAAAACCATTTTTACAGTCACATTAAGGCAAACTAATCTTAAATCAATTAACTTTTACTGTTGGTTAACACAAGTAGGCAGCCATGCCCTTCACAGTTCCATGACTTCTGAGTACTTTTCTACGAATGGAAAATGAAGTTCAGTGCAGGGGAATAGGAAAGTCTACCACATTTAAACAGCGAAAACTGCACCAAACTGTTTGGTCGGAGAGGTAATGAAAGGTTTGAACAATGAGGTTTCAACACTTTTGAATCATCAATAGGAATTTACATCCTTGACTGAGTACCATGAAAAGCGAATGTTAAGTGAAGGGAGATGTGTTGTTTTGTTTGACTGAATCTTTCTATTATGTTGCCAAGGTGTGGCTGCTGTGAAGGCCAGTGTGAAGCTGGAGAGCTTCGTCGCAGGGAGGTGGAATCTTGGACAAGTCTGTCACACCCTACAGGTCACAATGATGATCATTGTTCAGATTGTTGTGGGGGTAGTTGTTGTCTTTTGGTGAAAGATATTATCTTAAACACAAAGCAATAGTGGTGTTTAATACGATTCATGTCATATTGTAGGACTTTTACAGCCACAGTAACTGGGTGGAGCTGGGGAACAAAAGTCCTTACAGCACTCTGATCAGCCCAGACCAACCTCTTGAAAACCTGGCAGGTAAAATACTTTCATATATTTGGTTTTATACTTCACTGAGAAATCACACTAGACACCTTGTCAGTTAACATACACCCACCCTGCATGTGCATACGAAAACCACTCGTGGAAATAAGTACAGTGCATTGTTACTCAATGAGATATTGAGTAACAATGTACTCAGCACACAAGCATACAGGCCGTTTCTCAATGTCGAGTATACCTGCTGCAGAGCCACTATTTCAAGTATACTACGTCATCGAGTGGCGCCGAATGCTGGGCATTTAACATGCATTTAAACAGTCCTTCGGCGGGACTCGATGACGTAGTATACTTGAAATAGTGGCTCTGCAGCAGCTCTACTCGACATTGAGAAACGGCCACAGTTTAGTTCCCGTACTTGATTTGTGTTTCCTTTTAACTTCTCAAACCAAGAACATTAATAATCATTTAAGGGGAACTTCTACATTATCAACACATATATATATTTCTCTCCGATTTAAGGTAGTGCAATGTGTCACATAATGTATGTGTAAAACAAATAAATTAGAAAAAGAACCTGACCAGTTTTGTATTATTTATTTTTGTTACCTTTTCTGCAGGCCTAAGTGTTCCCACCTGTAGAAACTGTACTGGAGGAAAATGTGAGAACAACCTTCTTCCTGACCTGCTGCAGCAAGGGCTTCTCACCTCAGGCTACTTCAACATCTTCTCTCCAGCAAAACCTGCAGGTGAATTTAAGAAACAATTTAACTTTTGTAGTCAAGTATTTTAGGAACATAAGTATCATCACAAACATAATTTATTTGATCAAGGCAAATGCAGCCACGGTGGATCATTTGACCGGACCAGCAGAAAAGACCCAGTGGGGGGCATCAGTAAGGACGACCTTGGGTCCAGTCATGGCTCACTTCACCCAAAAGCAGCTGATTTGGCTGTGAATGCCACTATGGAGCTACTAGAGGACGTCAGAGTAGCAGTGGGAGACAAGAACTTCCTGCGGTATGGGCCACCAACACCTTAACCACTTGGAAGTTATATTATAATAATGTTTTCAATGAAATAAAGTCACTGATAAAGTGTTGAAACAGCATATTTATGTATCTTAGACACCTGGAAAGCTTGCATATTTCAAACAAATATAGCTCAGCTTTTACCAGAACTGCTTGATGTCTTTTGTCTTGCAAAGCATTACATTGACACTTACTGGGCTGTCCCTAAATACTTATATTCTCTCCCCGAGGTCAAATGGTAATCATTAATGACTAACAGATAAATTACCAGTGATCAACTGTACTTGTTTTCTTTCCCTTCTGTTCCTGCAGATTAATGGGCCTCTCCCAGTCCTCAGTGCTGTGTTTTGTCATTGACACCACAGGCAGTATGAGCGATGACATAGCCGAAGCTAAGAGGGTTTCCTTCGCCATCATTGACAGTAAGAGGGGAACCCAGCAGGAGCCCTCCGCTTACATACTGGTACCTTTCAATGACCCAGGTGCAAACATGTTTTTATTTTTATGAGAGAAGATTATAAAAATATATAGAGGCAGAATAATCTGCCTCTTAGTGTCTTATTAAAAGCATCAACAAGATTTCCTGTAAAACTGCAAACTGTGTTGAATTTATGATTAAGTGGTAATGTTCATTTCCTATACCTAGGGTTTGGACCTGTGACAATGACAACCAATGCAGATTTCTTCAAAGACAGCATCAACAAACTGTCTGCAAGTGGAGGAGGAGACATCCCAGAGTTATGCTTGTCTGGACTGCAGGTGAAGTGTTTCCCACTGTTATGCAATAATTCCATATTTCTTCATTTAAAAAACACAATTATGTAAAGCAACAAAGCGATATCATGTCAGTCGCTAAATGATAAAATAAAATAATTTTCCAGTCATTCTTAGTGCTAAATAAACAGATGCAAAATTAACTTCTAATTTAAATCAAAGTTTTTTGTCACTTTCATTTAACCATATTTTTCCTGTTCCATGTACAATTGGCAGCTTGCCCTGACTGCTGCTCCACCCTCATCTGAGATCTTTGTCTTCACTGACGCTCCAGCTAAGGATGCTCATCTGAAAAGCACCATCACTGCTATTATAGAGAGCACCAAGTCAGTGGTAAGTATTGACTTTTTCCTTTCCATTCATTTTTAATGCCTATTCATTACATACAGATTTACACAAAAACGTTAACATTCGAGGACATGTTTCCAGGTCTAAGATAAGCATTTTTATTTTATCCTTATAGGTAACTTTTATGTTAACCGATGTCCTGGCGAGTCGACGGCGCCGCAGAAACACTCAGCGGGTGTCTCCTCGTAAAATGAGCCAATTAGATGCCCAGCTGTACCGTGACCTTGCCCGTGCCTCTGGAGGTCAGGCCATTGAGGTGACCAAGTCAGACCTCACTCTGGCTACAAGTGTAATAGAGGATTCATTAGCCAGTGCTGTGGTAAGACATTGAACAAGAAAAATCCTACCTAACTCAAAGAAGACGGGACTGTACAGTCTGTATTTAATGTCATGTTTTGTTCCCTCTTCTTTCAGGTGACAGTTTTTCAGGTAGTGAGGAATCCTGGAAGGCCTGATAACTTTACGTTTATTGTTGATGGATCACTTAGGAACCTGACTGCCTACATCACAGGAGCCTCATCTCTCACTTTCGATCTCACGAGCCCCACAGGTTTTGTTAAATTCCCTTCCAATAAAGCCTTCTTTTGATTGCCTTTTAGAAAGCATTTTTTTTAACATATTTCTTTCTCCCCTAGGTGTATCTCAGAGTTCCAGTCAGTCCAGCGGTCCTTTGGCAACCATAACCACAGCCGGAAACCTACGTCGTTTAAGCCTTAACACTGACAATCAAACAGGATCATGGGAAATCAGTGTTAACTCTAAAAATCCTTACTCTGTTAAGGTCACAAGTCAGTATCACCAAAGACAGTGGGAATTCAATGAAAGGAAATTTGAAAATGTGTTTTAATCATCCATTTCGCACATCTCTTTTGTCAATCTGATCTGTTTTGTGCGTTTGTTCATCAGGTCAAAGCTCAGTGAACTTCATTTATAACCTTGTGGAAGCTCATGAGGGAGCCCATGGGGATTTCAGCCTAAAGGAGGGACGTCCTCTTTCAGGTCAGACCGCTTTCATAATAATTGTACATTGTGTTTTTTTACAGTTTGAAAAAATCCTTCTCCTTTTCCGTAATTATCCTTGACAATCATCTGACTTGAAAATATTTGATTACACTCCCCAAAAATGTAAAGAGTTCAACCCTCACAACTATTCTGCCTCTTCCAACACCTTAACATATTCTGTTGTAATGTACATACAGTACAGTGCATACCTAAGGAGCTGTCACATAATTACTCACCCATTTTCCCTTTCTCTCTTGTCATGACTTTCAGGTGGTAATGCTAGCCTCATGATATCTGTGACAGGAAGTGACAAAGTAAAGGTCACAGAGGTCACTCTGTTTGACAGCTCCGGGCCAACAGAGGTCAAGGGATCATTGCAGGCAGGTCATGCATTACACTTGATGACCATACCCAGTAGCTATATACTTAACTTTTTGACTTACCATTTTTCTACCAAAACTAAAAAAACAAAATGACTTTGCCTTTTAAGGTTGTAGTAGAGGTCACAATGCTCTCCAAAAGCTGACATCTTGAATACCATAATATCCTTAATTGCTCCATAGAGTGTACAAAGAAATTCTAGAAAAAACATGTTAGATCGTTTTGATCTATAGAGCAAAGCTGCAACAGATACAAGTTCCACTAGGCATGCTTTGTATACTATAACAATATTTGATACAAATAAACCATATCACAAGCAAACAGATCCAGAATTTGCAGCTGGAAGTAAACAGTAGCGTCTCATACTCTTACTTTACCGTTCTGTCCTCCACAGTCGGTAGGGAGTGGTACCTTCCTGGTGACATTCAGTGGAGTCCCAGCAGGCGAGTTTGTGGTTCGCATGAAGGGAGCGGATGGCAGCTCCACCTCCAGGTCCACAGCAACCAGCTTCCAGAGACAGGCCTCCACTCAGATCAAGACCTCCAGTATCTCTGTTACTGTAAGCTCAATAACCTTCAGTTTTCAGGGGATCACAAGGGGAGATTATGTTAAATGTTATTGTTTCTGTCATGTTTTCTGTTCTTCTATCCATGTATGGCTACCAAACATACAGACAAACACCCCTCAACAGATAATGCTATAGTAACAATACAAATAATGTGTGACAGCATTCCCCTCTTCCCTCCTTTCTACTGCCTCTTCACGTTTTCAGGCCCAAGCCAGCAACACCAACATAGAACCAGGCTCTACCATCTCCGTTCCTTTCACAGTCGCCACAACCACCAACGGAGTTGTCAACGACTCTGCAACAGGGATGTTCACAGTGCGAGCCAACAATGACCGCAGCTATACTTCAACCTCACCAAGCTCCATCACCATAGCGTCAGGCGATGGAGGCACAGCCAACGGCACCGTGACCTTAACGGCACCGGCCAGTGCTGCATCCGGAACAGACGTGACCCTCACCATTGAGGCCGAAAATGCAGCTGCCACTGACATCAACTACGCTGTCCTCAGGTTTTCTGTGGTGGCCAAGGTAGGAGGAAAAAGAAAGCAGGATAAGGTGGTGGTTTGGTGGCAAGCAGTACTGACCAGACTATGTTACATGTTCCATCCTGAATATATCAATGTTCAATAATTGTTAATGGTCAACTACATTAAGTTTGCTGTGTGCCAACAAATTATAAAAGGCATAATGCCTGGTAGCCATTTTACATGTATGTGTTGACTTTAATCCATTGTTCATTCATTTTCTTTGATTCATAGATTTGATGGTGTTAGTTTTGGTTAAAAAAGTAAAGTTAATTTGTTAGGATTGCCATAACAATTTCTGATGTTAAAATTATGTTTTGTGTTTTGGTTCTTTGCCATTTTCTTAATGGTTTATAAAATGCCAGTTTTGTTGCATTATTTTTCCATCTCTCCCACTATTTGTTTCCCAGGTGACCGATATTACCCGTCCAGTGTGCCAGACAGTCAGTTCTTCCTCCAATTGTCCATCCTCTTCATCACTGTGTGCTTCCTCACAGTGGACATTCATTGCGAATCTCACGGATGGCATCAATGGAACCGGTATTGAGAGCATCACCATCCGCAAAGGGAACGGTACCCTCAATACCAGCGCAGTGGCTGGGGCTGGAGGGGCCAACGTTACAGTCGCTACATACAGCGCTTCCTGCTGTTCACAGAATGTAGAGCTGGCTGCCGTGGACAAAGTAGGAAATGTGGGGAAATGTGCAGGACAGGCTAGACAAACGACGGTTGCCACTACACTTACAGCTATCACAGCTGCAGTGAACACAACATCCACTGGAGGGCACACCTTGAGCATATCACACTGTCTCTGGATCAGTGTTGTGGTTTCTCTCCTATGGAAGTAAAAGGGATGAATTACAAAATACACTGTAATTACAGTATATATCAATGATGTCCAATGGATTATGAAGGGAATCACATGATTTAAGCGTCCCCTCAAAGTATTTTATTGCTTGGATTTATTTCCATCAGGTGTGTTTGAATTACTATTGCTTGGGGTAAAAAGGAAGTTTTCCTCTATTTAGAAAGAAATCATATTGCCTTTGTCTTTAATGAAGTTGTATTTATTTTTTGATTTAAAAATATATAACAAATGTAATTTAGCTGCCCTGTGTCCAAGTCTACGCATTCATTTTGATGTCATTATACTTTACTTTGGAATTTCTATGTTATGGTACTTCTAAACATATATGAAACAAAAAACACTTTTTACTTTACTACATTATCTATCAACTATAGTTACTAGTTATGTTGCAGATTTAGATTTGATAAACAATCCATAAAATGATTTAAAACACTTAAAATAAATAATAAAAAAATAGAAAAATAAAATCACAAATCCACAGAAATAATAAAAATACACCTGGAAACAAATGTAGGTCAAAAAAAGACATCACTGGTGGATTTCTTGTTTAAATAGTGTGAGTGTAAAAAGTGTTCCTTTAAATGGTTTGACCATGTTGATTAAATATCACTGTTGGTAAAGAAAGCAAATATAAGGCGTCACCAGCCTCCATGCAGTTTTAACTTGGAAGGTGCAAAGAAATGTACACAAGGGGTTGTGTGAAACATGCATGCTGAATATAAAGAAAAGTAACAATTTGCAATAGAAGTTTATTAGTCTATTCCAGAAAAAGTTAAACAATAATTACAACAAAGAACCAACTGAACCTCAAAAGGAGAAACAATATATCAAATCAGAAAATAGTTAAAATGGAAGAATTAAGAGCGACTTCCAGCAGCTGAACATGAATGGCACACCTGGGGCATATTCAACAAAGCAGGATTAATGAAGAAAGCTGCATTAACCAGAATCACAGCTCATCTCAAACACCACGAGAAGTACACTGAGCTGTTCCTGGTTTCCCTCAGAGCAGTACAGCTAACTCAGTGATCCTGGTTGATGAGACAGGTCCCAGTTATCAGGTAACAGCAAAACAGCCTGGTCAAATGCAATCGGCGTTAAAGGGAGGGGACAAGTAGCAAAAAGCTTGGTCCTTTTATCCAAAGGCAAAATTAGAAACTATTTTAGATTTTCCTTCAAACAATACAGCAACCACAAATTCAAATTACAGCATGTTTTATACAAAAAAGAGAAACAACAGAAAAGCCAATCACCTCGCAATTACCATGGCAAGTAAACGTCAAAGCAGCCACAGAACAAAAAATAAAAGCTTCATTTTGTTTTAAACTTGTACAAAACATTTTTGCACTGCATCTGGAGAGTCAAAAGTGCACCACTACAATGAGGAATTTTGATACTCTGTTGAGAAAACGAAACTTGACAGAGGTCAGTATTCTCAATAGATTACAATACTTCATAGTTAAAGAAACATATTTCTCCTAGATTAAAACACAGCCTTATAACACAAACACTAAAGAATATCCTTCTCTGTCTAATCTATGAGCATATTCATGTCACATCAGTAATGCAACTTGGAACAGATTCAATGTAAGAAACCTACTATATCAGTCATCAACAACAGTATTTACAATACCTAATATGTAGCTCTTTTAAACAGAGCACAGTTTAACAGTTGGATATTAGCGTGCATTATTTTTAATAGCCCATGGTAGATCAAACATATCCCTGGATCTCTGTGTTCCTGACAAGAGTGATGGTCGATACCAGAGTTGCAAGTAAGTATAATCTATACATTATAGAACAATAGGGCCAAAAATGTGTATGACATGTGTTTCCTCAAAAGGCAAAGACAAAAGCTACAGAGACAGATAAATAGCTACGGTTGTTTAGTTTTTAACAAAAGCAAGTGAGAAACTGTACATAATATTAACAATATTTTATGGCAAGATCACTGAGGACTCTCTCCTCGTACTGCTCTCTTCTAAGTCACTATGCTGTAATAAAGGACTTTGACAAACTCAACTAGACTAATATGCAACACATTTCTTCATTGTCAAATAAGGTGTCAAAGGACTGGAAAGTGCAAAATGCATTTGCGCTGTAGAGTTTAAAGAAATGTGTAAGAATATTGGGGGAAAAGGTATTTCTTAAAATATACTAAGAAGTTAGCCCTGATACTTGTGAGTCTGGTGATGTAGTCTGATATGAGTGGTTGGATCTGATTATAGGTCAGCTACTGTATTATAGGGCTGCAGCTGATTTATTTTCTTGCTCAAATCTAACTAATTTGAGATAGAAAACAGGCAAAGAAATGCATTAAAATGTTGTGTTTCTATAGATGAAATATATGAGGTTTTGGTTTATTCACATGTTGGTGATGATTCAATAGTTGCATGCAGAGGCACTAAATTGAAAGAGTTTGTCTGCCTATATTCTCTGGTCATGCTTACATCTCACTCATATCAGCTTATTCTATTATACAAAATTAGTACAGAGCTTCCAGAGTTGGCATTCACTTTTTTCCCCATACGGTCCCATGACCAAATACACTGTACCAATCCATTATTTTACAGCATATACATATACTTCACATAATATGTATATATGTTGTGAGAATTCCATGCAGCATGTAAAGACCCTTCCTTTGAGTGATTTCATTGTGCGGAAAAAAAATAGGGTTTAAAAGATAACTTGTTGTCCTTTTTTCCTTTTTCAGATAGTAACTAGCAGTATAAGCCCAGCAGAAATACAAGGGCTCTGCATAGGGTGTTCCCGTTTCAAAGCGCCCACTAAATCACCAGCTGAGTATCACCAACCAGCACTGGCAAAGTTAAAAGGATCAGAACTCCCACAAATGCTATGCGGCTAACTAAGAACATACTCATGTCAGCTTGTTGCATATGCCATTCTCCTCAAATCCAGTTTTGAGTTGTCCTCATATCTACTGTGCACAAAGATCTGTCGATGCTTAAAAACTCCCCAAAATGGCCTTGTTCTTTCACATGACGATAAAGTGATTTGATAAAATTGGATCACGTTTATGTCACATGAGATATCCAGCATTCATTTCAGGCAGCATTAAACTTTTTTTTTTACTTAACTTGTTTTCTTTTAATATATATATATATATATATATTTACTGACCTCTCAGTCAACTTGACTAACATATAAGCAGTAATAAACGTCAACAAATTTAATCTTAGAATCATTGCACTGTCATGCTAGAACCGCAAGTGCAGATATAACAACAGCTTAAGGAACAACGTTACCGCTAATATTCAAATGCTCCAAGGTTTCTGATGTGTAAACATTCCAAGGGTTAAGTAGACTGGTAGAGTACATACAATAGTTGTATTTTAATATCTGAGGAGGTATAAAACGTTTGGCAATAAGCAGGGAGAGAAAGGTAAAGTAATATCCCTGCTTTTTGAGTTTGAGCCAGGTAGTAAGGGATACCTGAGGTGTAAGCTCTCCATGATTGTACTGATCTTGCATCTGTTGTATAATTGGAGTTTGGGATGGGATGGATGGGTGCAATCTTATCCGCAGGCCAGTTTGGATGGCTCAGGAAACAGTTGCTTTCTGTTATGAGGGTACTTGCATGTGTTACTCTGACATATTAGGTCTACTCTCCTTCTCTGGTTTGTGATTTTATTTCGAACTTAATACATATGGTAATTTTACAGAATGAAAAAGGACAGTTTGTCAGGCATCACCAAAAATAATAAATGCCACTGGCTTTGTGGTGCTAAGGCAACTACTTCTTAGTTTAACAGCTTAAAATCAGACCGCGACTGATTGAAGAAAGCTATATTCAGGAAACACTAAGAATTATGTATTAATTATCTTAACAAAACGAATTAGTGATGCATTTTGTTTGATTAGATTGGTTATAATAGATGAGACATGTGGCTGGCTTGACTCACAGGAAGAGGAAATCAGTCACATCAGGACGGCTACAGCTGCCTGGATGGCATCAGTGACACTGTTGTGGACAATTGTGACAATGACTTTTGTGTGTCCAAGATCAAATAATTGGATAAGGCTAGAGAACTTGAATGAGTAATGATGTCCCATTGGTTTACTAACACAATGGGGTTGGGGGTATATGAAGCTGGGTGTAGGGGAAGACATCCCAAGGTCCCTCTACTGCTCGTCTGTCTCAGCAACATCAGAGCTGGAGGAGGGTGGTGTGGATGGTTCCAGGTGGTTTGAATCGACTAGTGGGCTCAGGTTAGAGCCCTGTGGTGCGCCACTTGGGGCAGGGTCGGTAAGGGTCAGGGTTTCCGGAGCAGACTTTTTGCGAGGTCTGTCCTTGGTGACAGAGAGGGACTCAGGCGCATCGGTGCACATGGGGGTGGTTGGGGCACTGGCGGGGCCGGTAAGGGAACAGGAGGACAGGGGCGTTTCGCTGATGGAGATGGATGGTGGAAAGATCCCGATCTTCTGGTTGGTAGCCTCCTGGATGGTGCGCTCAAACTCTCTCACCTCATCCATTGTCATGTCTGGAATGTAAAATAAGATCAACAAGAGGCCAATAAGAGGAAGGATTTGTTTCATAACTCTTTCATTATTAGAGCCAGAGGCACACCCAGAAAAATACACATCACAGTCTGAACAATGCTGGAAAAAAAACATAATAAAAAAAGCAGTATTTTTTAAAAGCTTGCATATAGTTATTTTAACTCCCAAAATGTTGGTAGTGTCTATTGGTGTTGAATTGATTTTCCTTGATACCTTTTAAAACCTTTAGAGAACCACGCAGACTTAATATTGTATTCTTTACATATTCAACAGTCAATGAATGAATAGGTCGCTCAATGTAAGAAAGGATGAAACGTTTTTGCAATTGTGACATCTTCATTCACCAACGGGTAAAGTATCAGATAAAGTAGGGGCAATGGAGTGAAAAATAATGAAAAAATACACATACGCTTGCTTTGTCATGGATCTCTATGTCATCCAGTGAAGATGGGTTTGTTGTGGAATGCTCTTGCTGCTCAAGCCAAACTTTAATGTTGGTTTTCTCATGCATTTTTCTCTCGTAATTCCGCACGTCATCCAAAGACATATCTGGAAAAAGGGAGGAGGGATGGAACGAGGATCGAAATGTTGCTTACTCCTCAATAATGGCAATCCAGTTTACGTACACGTAGGTAAGGAGGGTGTAGGTGGCAAAGGTGCATTCCGTGTGCATGCGTCAGTAAAGGAGTTAAGCAGGTGATTAAAGCTTTTTGAAGTTTAAGCTTTAGAGGTCAAAGCGTTAGTTTCCCATGAACCAGAGAGTGTAGATGAGAGAGCTACATCCAAGCCAGGAAGGAGGGAGAAAGGAAGGTCAAGGATGTTTCAAGGTTAAGGAAAGTATAAAATGCCAAAAAAACATAAATCAAATCAAATCAAGTTTTATTTATATAGCACATTTTTAAACGATTTTTGGTTGAGCCAAAGTGCTGTACATATAATAAAAATACCCTACAGTAAAGACACTTTACAGCAAATACAACAGCACAGTTTGTGCAGAATATCAGTATGAGAAAACGACACCCTCTGTCCTTAGACCCTCACATCGTACAAGGAAAAACTTCCAGAGAAAAACCCAGTTTAAAGGGAAAAAAATGGGAGAAACCTCAGGGAGAGCAACAGAGGAGGGATCCCTCTCCCAGGACGGACAGAACTGCAATAGATGCCATGTGTAAATCGAAGAGATAATACATTTTACAGCATAGGTAGACCGAATGTTTGGAAATGTAAGACTTTTGTTGTATCTGGGCAAGAAGAGAAGGGAGTATTTCAAGCATCCTGGTTGTTGGGAGTTGTGGTAAAGGTTAGTGATTGAAGGCAGGAGAGGCGAGGAGCAGTGGCAGCACTAGGGGGTGGCTACTTGGGCTCAAGCCCCGGATGTTTTCTGAAAAGCCCAGAATGTTTCACTTGAAGCTATTTTTCACGTCTCGTGAGTAATGTGCAGTACCGGAGTCTAACAGAGAGGCAGCAGCTGTGGGACAGTAGCCTGCGTAATGCTTAGCCTTCCCTGCCCTGGATAAGAAGAAATCCTTCGTTAGCGTGAAGAGTCTGCTTTATGCTCCCCCCCCCCCCCCCCCCCTCCCCCGCTCAACAACTTCAAAATTCTGGGCTACGCCCCGGATCTCCTACGATCCTAAATCCGCCACTGGCGAGGAGTATATTTCGTTGCAAAGATAAAGGGCTTGTTATCCTTTTGCCCTAGAGCTATGGAAAAAGCTCAACAGCTAAGTGGGTTAATGTGTTGCAGCCACTTATGGCTACCTCTTGTGTAACCAGACTCTCAGGGAACCATACACAGTAAGCTTTCATGTTTTCAAAAAGTGCATCATTCTTCAAATTATTTCTGAAGAAATTGCCGCAATTTTGTTTAAAGTTTACACCCTGAAGTTTTTTTTATAATTTATATTCAGCTTTCAAATTAAATATAGCTAAAATTATAAAAAAAACAATATTAAACATATATCACTGAGACTCTCTTGACTCGTACTAAACTGACGTAAAATAATTTTCATCAAGATATATACTAATTTCTCAAACATGAAATAGTGTGGTTAAGAGTGATACTTTATGATGCATGTTTCATGTAAAACAAACCCTGAAAAACAGTACAGAGTTTTTCATTCTGGGATTAGTCGCGGTACCAAGAGGAAGATGCTGTAGAAGAATGAGCACGGCCAGCAGGGATAAAATAGATGCAGGTGGAGTGATTTTTCATGCATACTTGTAAATAAACATTTATTATCGGTGATTTATAAAATCTAATTAGCTACAGTATAACAGCGCTTACATTTCAAAGAAAAGTAATAACAACAATAAATAAATGTTTTAAAGTATAAAGGCATGGAAAGTGTAATGGTCTTATGAATCATGTATGTATTTCTTTAAGGTCCAAATAAGTAACAAATATGCAAAAAATATATGTTGTTTATATGGGAAACGTTAATGACATTGTGTTTGCAATGTCTCTTGGTAACTTGGTATACAAAATAGTTAATGACTATAAGAGTGAAATGTGTGATGTTGCAGTAAATTAGCTGGAGTGTTAGATGAAGGCTGATAGACCTACCGATCCACTCATCCACCCAGGCAAAAGCCTGCCTGTGTCCCAGCAGCAACACATCCCGAACCACCTGCAACACAACACAGTGACGCTCAGCAAATAGTGACAAATGCTTCATAGTGTTCTTAAAAACCATCTAGTCTTGGGGTTATAAGATTAGAAAAACCTGGGTTGGGGGATCGGACCAAATTAAATGAATTTAGCCAAGCAAAGAAGTACAGATGTAAAGGTTTATTTCTGCAACTTACATCCAAGGTTAAAAACAATGCAAGATCTGGCATTTAACTTGTAGGCGAACTCTCACCTTGTGTACGTACTGCTCCACACGAGTCTGCAGTCCCCACACCTCAAACTTGACGGTGACCAGCTTGTACGAGCACATGACGGGTTCCTGGGTGTCCCTCCAGCCCTCCTGCAGAATCCCCCGGGACGTCTTATCGGACTTGAAATATCGCAAGTCCTGTGATTTTTAGGAAAATGAACAGATTGGTTATTACAATAATTAACCTAAACCTTAAGGCATTTTGTTTCTGCATCCCAGTTAAGAGGCGTAAGGGAGAACCTGATATTACATGCACGACTGAATGCCAGTATTAAATACAATTTGCATTTACCCCTCTGGTCCTTTGAGAATCTCTACTCATTAGAGCTGAGGCAGTCTGTTATCAAACAGCTCCGAAGACAATTACCAGCTCTCACACTTCACAGAATCTGAAGTATGAAAGGCTTCGATTTCAGATCAATGCTTTGTGAAATGGGATAGGCATACAGTATAAAGCATCAAATGCAGCCTTCAGACAGATTGAGGTCACCAAAGTTTGGGCCTGAATATCAAATTTAACAGTAAATAATAATATCAAGTTTACTATAATCTTTTCTGTGAAAATCTTCCTTAATAGGAGCTTTCTCACTCCAAATGATTGGATATAAAAATATTTAGATCTGGGTAAGATCACAATATGACAGAGTTTATACTGTTGTATCGAGATCACATTTTCTTAGAGCATTACCAGAATTAACACTACATTTACACCTCTCCAGTAGTGTTATCTCTCAACGAGATTTACCCACTCACACCTCCACCCTCTCACCTCAGACTCTTTATAGTAGCGCTCGGGAATTTCATCATAGGCAATGTCGACAAAACACACCTCCCTCTCCTGGTCCTTGAGCTCGGTGTCAAAGATCTGAAAGCAGAAAACAGATCGTTCAGCTTATTGAAGTCTCTGCCTGAGAGTAGCCTTCTTACGAATAAATAGACATTGCAGAAATGTGGCTTTTCAAGGTTACGTCCTACATTATGTGGCTGGAAAAACTGCCTCTCTGCTTGACTCAAAAGATGGAAATGATTTGAAATGTTACTAACCACTGATCATGCATCTTATCACTCTTTCACATCAGCCAAACAGTCGAAACATGTGTTGTACTTGCTTAAAGAACCATTAGGTGGTGCTTTGTTCCCATATCATTTTTGTTTTTGTGCCAGATGACACAGTACTGGTTCCAATTAGTGTGTCATATGTTGATAAAACAAGTGTGTCACACTCTTGTTTGCTTTTTGCTTTTAAGATTCTTTATTATTCTTTATTCGTTATCATGCAGTTGATTATATGGACCTTTTACTACTGTGAATCAAGAATGAATGTACATACTTTAACGTCAATGCATTTATTTAAATGTGTTCATTCATCAATGCAGCCCTTGTCACGCAGACCATGTATATACTAATACACCCGCTCATAATGACATATATGAGAAACAGATAAAGGTACCCAAAAACCATCCTCATTATGTACAAGAATTCAAGGAATCTATGTATTTCACTTTGTATCAAAGCTAATGCAGCTCATGTTACTTTGTCTTTACATAACTTTCCATTCTGTTTGAGTTTTGCCTTTGTCTGAATGTACACTCTCTCTCCGTAGATACACCTCTGACCTTTACCTTCCCGGTTTCCCCCTGTCTCTATCTCTCTATCACTCCTTTCTTTATTTCCTCCCCACCAAGGGTGCATTCTGTCATTTACAGTGTAGAGGCGCACTGCTGGCACAATAAGGGTGATATGTCAGCATGCATGAGTGCAGCCAAGTGACATGAATGGAGCCCGGGAAAGAGAGGGATAGGGGGATAGGGAGAAGTGGAAGAGAGGAGAGAGGGAGAAGGTAAACAATGAAAAAAGAGATGTGGTGGTGGGGAAGGAAGGCATGAGCAAAATGGTGTGTAATAAGAGGAAAGGAAGTGATGGGAAAATGGAGAAGATGAAAATAGGGGAACACAGTGAATACAATTAAATGAATACTGGCAAGAAAAAGGAAGGAGGAAAGGTTATAAAATGAAATAAGAAACATGGGGGATTGAAAATAAAGTTAAAAAGATACAATTATTATGTTCGCATCACTTTAGTTTTTATGTAAATCTTCAGAGGTATACATAAAAGGCTTTACCTGCAAATATTTAGCCTACATTCTCTTTTTAGAAATGGTTTCTATTTTCTTAACCACCCATATGTGAGGCCATATTGAGAGAAAGTTGTTGGCAGAGTGAGACGGTGAAAAAAAGATAAGGAATAAAAAGACAACACACGAACGATAACAGTTCCCCAGTGCCGATCAGTAACACATAACCTTGGTTTGACCTGTGGATGTAGATCACCTTAAGGCCATTCAGGATCATTTTGAATATGCCAGAACAAAATAAACTAAACTAAACACTCCTACATGTGCCTGTCACCAACTACATTTCTGCTCCTACTTCATAAAACAAAACTTACAAATATCACTCCTAAAGATCAATCCAAGTATAGTTGTTCTGAGCTGCAACTCAATGCTAAAACTATGCAGTAAGAAGGCCAGCATTTCTTAACAAACTTAACTTCATCAGTTTTCCAGTGAAAATACACCGCAAAGACAAAAAACAGGCAGTAAATGGTCCTTTAATTCCAAAGCAGGGAATCTACTGACGTCTGATAGTAATCACTGGCTCATAAACACATGGATCTAACTGCATTCCATTATCCTCTAAAGGGAAAGTACACACAAAACAGGCCAATCTTGTCAGAATCAGAATCAGAATACCTTTATTCGTCCCACAGAGGGGACATTTACATTTGTCTCTTATCTGTAAGAGAATGAAATAAGAAAGATTT